ATGACAAAGAGAGGCTATATTCCTGCACAAGTAGCCTAACTACTAGGAAAGAGATCATACTATGGCCTTGTTTGTTTTTTGGCTTTTTGGCCAAAACGCTAAAATAGCGGTTTTGACTAAAATCAAAAAAGCTAATATTGATTGTTTTGTTGTTTGGTAAAACAGCTTCTTAAAATAACTTATGGGCTGAAAACGCCAATATTGCAAACGCTATGATTTGCAGCGTTTGTGATGAGCGTTTTGTACCTTTTTCTTTTCTTTTACACTTTTTGCTTTTGTTTTGCTAATTTAGCATATTCCTAGGCCACTATTTACGCTTTATTTTTATTTTTTTTTCATTTCATCATGTTTTAAATTGTGCATAATAATAAATTTTAATTGTGTTGCTTTATTGCTTTTTTTTAATAAGTATGACGTGAACTTATTACTCAACTAAAAAAATTTATTTTATTATTATTTATATTATATTTAAAATCACTTTAATAAATATTTAAATATTAATTATTTTTATTTTAAACCGCTAACACAATCAATTAATTTTATCAAACATTTTTTTTACAAACCGTTAACACAATCAGCTAGTCAAAACAACTAATGCAATCCGCTGGTCAAAGCAGCTAATGCAATCCGCTAACAGCTAACAGCTAACCGCTAATTACCAAACAAGGCCTATATCTTGTTTCCTCATAGCACATCTCTGAAAACTTAAATTAGTTAACGAGATACACTTATCATCCTTACTAAGATTATGTTTCCCTTCTTCCCATGGCTCTTTAGGTATTTACCATGTCGAAAACACCAACTTTCGCTTGTACAACTTCCACGTCATAATAACCACTCCTCCGTCTGGACTCCATGAAGAGCTCGACTCTTCACTCCTTTATTTAAGTCGACTCGTACACCAAATTAGTGCACCAAGCTCCCTAACGAAGTTGAGCCCTAACACCAAGCTAAGGCTCTCCTGAATCGGATACTCCCGACTCCCGAGCTAATAAGTAATTGTGGACTCTTATCGGTGAGCAAACCTCTAACTCAAGAATTAGTGGGCAAATAAAAACTCTTTTACCAAACACAAATCCCAAAGGTACTTTCCATTTCCATAAAACACTGTTATTACCTTTACCTAATTCCGACATCAAACGACGACCGCCTGAACGGAAAAAAAAACATGAACATCTTCTCCAAAAAACCTACGGCCAAAGGTTTGATGATGTCCTCAATTCTCTTCTTATTCATTCTCCTGAATCTTAATTGTATGTTATATAATTGTCGGCTCACAAATTTTCTCGATTCAAATGTTATTTATTTTTATTTATTTTTTTTTTCGGTTGGTATTTGATTAGATCTAATAATTTGTATAACTTCATCATTTTTTTATTTTTTTTGGTTCATTTTTAGATTTTTTTTTTAAAATTTTTTTTTTGGTGCCCAATTTTTGCTCTGCTTCAATTTGCAGAGGCGTTGAGGGGAAGCAAGCGTGAAATGTCTAACGCGACTCGAGGTATCTATTTTCCTTGCTACATCACATCAGCATGTTGTTCAATGTTCTTGGTTTATTTGTATGGCTTTTTATCCCTTAAGATTCGTCGTTATCAGCTGTTGGCTGCCTTTGTAGATGGGACGAGTGACTAACCGAACGTGTTCGTGAATGTGTGTTCATCGGATTCTTTAAGTCGTGTTAGTTTTTTCAGGACACTGATGATAAAGTTAGTTAATGTTTCGAACTAGGCTCGTTAAGGATTTGGGATCGAGTTTATTACAACTTTTATTATTATTGCTTCTTAAATCCTAGGTTCGGCTACATTTGTGTTTATTTGAAAGTTTGTACTATGAACATCTCGAGTAGTTTGTATGTCAAAGTTTGATTGGACTTTTAACGTTATGTCGAGATCTTACAGTTGATTAATTTGTTGGTCTTTGCCTTTTCATTCAGGTGTAGAAAGGGAAATTCATACATTGCAATTAGAGGTATGTCGAGTTTCTCCACGCGTGTATTATGTTTTCTATGTAATGCCCTTTTTTTTTTGTATTTAATATAACTATGGATTTTGGTTTGTGATTTGCAGGAAAAGAGGCTTGTTGCCGAGATCAAGAGAACCGCGAAAACAGGGAATGAGGTACTTAGGGGGCGATTTGATACAGATTAAAGCCGGTTTTTGACCAGTCGAATAGTTGTTTACACTCTTTAACTTAAAATCCAACTCAAATTTAATCCATCCCCAACCTCCACAATATTTTATAAATATAATTAAATAATACCAATCAATCATCCTCACACATCACATCAACTTCTTTAATTCACTATTCATCCACTGACATATTTTTAGTTACCTATCATTTTCATTAACTTATCTCACACTTTTACATACTTCAACTTTAATATTAAACTACACTCAATCTCATTGCTCGATATCTGTTTAGAATAATGTATTACTTGCNNTTTTTTTTTTTTTTCTCGTTCGAATTCAACTCCTTGTATAATTACAAGGGTAAGGTCTGCGTACAACTGACCCCCCAGACCCCAACCTGTTTGGGAATATACTGGGTATGTTGATGTATTGATGTTGATGTCTCGTTCGAATTCAAATTTTGAATTTCTAGGCGGCAACCAAAATTCTCGCTCGCCAGTTAATTAGGCTCCGGCAGCAAATATCCAACTTACAGGGTAGTCGGGCTCAGATGAGAGGTATAGCGACTCACACGCAGGTCAGTAATTGTATATAAACCACCGTGATAAGATTTTGTTGCTTATGTTATCCTAATGTCGTTTGATTTGCGGCATAACTAATCTATGCTTTCAATTTATGTCCACACGAAGGCAATGTCTGCCCAAACTTCAGTTGCTGTTGGCATGAAAGGTGCCAGCAAAGCTATGGCAGCAATGAATAAGGTTGTACTCAGCTAAAACTTTGTCCTTTCGTGATCTCTTATTTGTCATAAAGAAATGATCTTTTTAGGTTTCCTCCCTTTTTTTAAGCTTTAATAATAGGGCAAAGGGTCCTTGAAGATAATTGAGAATTTTCTTTTGCAATTTACATAAGCCTCAAAGTTTTAGTTTTTTTTTATAAATATCACTCTCTCATAGATCATGTCCAATCAACAATTTTTTTTATTTTTTTTATTATTTTTTTATTTTTTCCATTCACAATCTTGAAATGTAATTTTGTTACAGCAAATGGCTCCTGCAAAGCAGGCGAAGGTGATTCAGGAATTTCAGAAGCAATCGGCACAAATGGATATGACTGTTAAGTCTCGATTTATTCATTTCTTACCAAAAAAAAAAATATATTCATCTTCTATTTGAAATGTTGACACGTTTTCTTTCGTCTGCTGTTTTGTACTGTTTACATAGACTGAAATGATGTCAGATGCCATTGATGATGCTTTGGATAACGACGAGGCTGAGGATGAAACTGAAGAGCTCACTAATCAGGTCTCCTTTTCTTCTTCTTCTTATATATATATTCGTTAAGACTATAATTTACTAAATTCTGTAAGGTAATGTAATGTTATCAGGTGCTGGACGAAATTGGTGTGGATATTGCCTCACAGGTTCTTCCTCTTTTCTCCTTTTTTTTTTTTTTTTTTTTTTTTTTTTTTTTCTCTCTTTGATCTTTTCTTGGTGAAATAACATAATGATTATTTTTGCATCCAACATGAGACTTAAACAATATTGTTCTGAACTTTGTTTCGACAGTTATCAACTGCTCCAAAAGGAAAAATTGCAGGGAAGAATGTCAAGAGTGCCGGCAGGTATTTTTTTGCCCCTATTCTCTTACTTTCTACACATACATTACCATCTCCGATTTTTATTCGTCCCTTAATTATTATCATTATTTTTCCGGTGCATATTTTGTTTCTTTTCTAGTTCGGATATCAATGAATTAGAGCAGAGGTTGGCTGCCCTCAGAAATCCATGAAAGCCAAAATGTGTTTTTTTTTTTTT